GGGTTCAGAGAGAGCAAGATCAACCCAGCTGGGGAGGGAGGAGCTGCAGGGTTGTGGGGGCGGGGGGGGTTGGCGCCCGGGGGTGAGAGAGAAGGAGGAGCTGGAGGTGGAGGGGGGGGGAGACCCTGAGGCAGAGGGCATTTGCTGCTGCTAGCGTAGGAGAGGACTTGGTTCTCCTTGGCTGTAACGAAGAAAAGGAGGGAACTTCTAGGGCTAAGGGACACCACTTACTCGGCGGGGGAGAGAGAGACAGGCGTTGTCTCCCGCCTCTATAGGATCTTCTAAAGTTAGTTTGGAACCTTCTGAATTTTGACTATTTAAACGGGAGAGAAACTGAATTGAGCCTCTTCTCTACCTCTTGAAGGAGAAGAAAGAAAAAAAAATAGTGGTCCTCTTCCTTTCCTCCCTCCCCTCCCTTTCCCCATCCCCACCCCCTTACCCGACCCCGGCCTCTCCCCGGAGCCCTCCTTCCCCCCATGCACCTGCCAGGTTCCGCTCTGACCATGGCAGACGGGAGCTTCTCCCTTTCTGGACACCTAGTCCGGAGCCCCACCGCAAACCCTTCGCGGCTACACAGCATCGAGGCCATATTGGGATTTACCAAGGACGACGGGCTCCTCGGCCCCTTCCCCGCAGACAGAGGCTCCCGTGCTTCTAAAGATCAGGACAAGAGGGCAGGGGCCCGCCTCAGCTTACCCAGAGCGCCGGGAGAGGCAGAAGCGCCGCCGCCGCCGCCGCTGCCTCCCCCACCCCCGCCCCAGCTCCCTGCCCCGATGCTGCCGCCTGCCCAGGCTCAGGCAGAGGAGTACGGAGGTGAGTAAGTGAATGCCCACCCCCTGGCCCCGGGGCCACTAAGGCTGCTTTAGAAGGCACCCAAAGGAGAAAAGGAAGTTGTGTCCGAGGCCCAGAGTGGCACCCTCTTGAGAGGGATGTTTCTTAGACTGTGTCAGCTGTCGAGATCTTAAAGGTCTTTTGAAGCTACAAAAAAGGCAAAGTACCAGGTGTGTGGCTGGGGGTGGGGGTGGGGGTGGGGGCGCGGGGGGAGGGGCTAAAAAGCAGGAAAACTGGAAAGGCCCCTAAGCAACACTCTCTCCCAAGACCTCCATTCGACAGCCTTGGAACCCAGAATTCAGAGGGGAAAGAGGGAAGAAAGAAAGAAAGCAAGGAAGGAGGTGAGCAAAGAAGTGCCCTGAGACAGAGTTGCTTACGGAACGGGTTCCCCCCTAGATGCTTGCTCCTATGGCCCCAAGGAGCCCGGGGAGGAATGTCTAAGCCCAGAGCTGCCTGCCTGCCACACTCCCAACGACGTAAAAGTGTCGGACGAGGAGCAGCCCAAGAAAAAACATCGCCGGAACCGCACCACTTTCACCACCTACCAGTTGCATGAGCTGGAGAGGGCTTTTGAGAAGTCCCACTACCCAGACGTCTACAGCCGCGAGGAGCTGGCGGTCAAGGTCAACCTGCCAGAGGTCCGAGTCCAGGTAAAGCGAGGGACCAGTTCGAACGCAGGGCACCTGGGGAGAGTAGGAGGGACTCACCTTAGGTGCCCAAGGATGTAGAGAACAGATTCCTAATCCGGGCTGATAGTGGGTGGCCGAGGGTAGAGTGGGTTTATGAACTATATTAACTTTTTGGGTTTTTTTTTTTCTTAAGGGCCCACAATCATGGAATCCAGATCTGAAATCCTTTCCCCTCACAGCTAAAGACACTCGGTAGAAAACTTACAGAGGTGTCTTCCTAATTCTGGGAAGAGACAGAGAGACAGAGACAGAGACAGAGAGAGTGTGTTTGGAAATCATGTCCAAATTAGAGTTCTAATATACATACACATACTCCAACCTTATGGCCCTTAAGGGCTTGAGTATGTGGTGTAATGGATTTGGGGAAGGCTTCAACAGCAAGAGTAAACACAAACCCATTCAGGATAATTAAATTATGGTATAAATCAAGCCCCCACTTGGATACATCCTCCTTGGATTATTTGGTCAGCCCTGCTGTCAAAAATTCTACTTTGAAATTGGGTCATGTTCTTCTCAGCTCCACTTCTCAGTTGAGACATAAAGTGGGATTTTGTTTGAGAATATTGCTTTGCCATGTCTGTTTCAAATCCATCCAATTCCCAGTGCAGAGAGCTTTTCTTTTCATTGTATGGTACTTTTTTTTTTGCTTTAATTAGAGCTGAATTATCTTTAATCCCCATCATTAAAATATTTAAAAGCCTTATATATTTGCTAGTCATCTGTGAAAAATCTGGGAGGGTTTCCAAATTGTGTGGGTTTAAGTCAAACCTGAGGAGGAGAAATTGGGAACCAATTTCAGTTGGGATTCTAGGTATCCAAGTAGTTACCTTTCCATAAAGAAGGCCAAGTTGCTTTAAAACATTTTTTTTTCTTGCAAATAAAAGAGGCAAGGTGCTATTTCTCCACTGGAGTTTAGGGCAAACTGCAGATGGCTAGCACTAGAGTATTGGGTTGTAATCATTTGAAATGATCTCACTATGTAGTTGCCTGTTACCTGAAAGCATATAGTGAAGTCAGTTTGGGGTACCAGAGAATAGAGCAGTATGCAGGCCTGAACTGATTTCATTTGGGATGGGGGAGGTGTGTGTATAAAATGAGAGTTACTTGATGAGGAGAAAATGAGGAAAAAGTGGAAGAGATACCAGGAATAGAAAAGGGTGAGGAAGAAATGGGCAGGATCCCCCTACTTGTAGGAAACTTAATTGAACCTCCCAAGGGAGGCACCATGACTATACCATCACAGTCTTTCCTCTCACTGACCTGCAGACCTTGTACTCCAATTCACTGACCCTCTGACTATTCATTAGGGGTAGAGGGGAATTGAGGAAATGGAAGAGATACTGGGAGACAAGCCAACTTCCAAAAAAAGGGACCTTCCTTGTACTTCTTCCACTCTCACTATTTCTGGGAAATTGAATATCCCAGAGGTTTGAGCCGGGCAAAAAGAGTTCTGTGTTGGAGTTCCTGGGAAACAAAGATACTCCAAGATTTTGGTGCATTATGGGGAGAGGGAGGGAGCTGTTCTTCCTTTCTCTACTCTAAACTAGATGCAGTCTTTCACTGGGGCATCTCAATGTAAACTTAGTTCTAGATTTATGTAGGTGCTTAGTCTCTGATCACAGTCTCAATTGTGTCTCATCTCTTCCCCATCCCAAATCTTGCTTTTCTTTTCTTTCTTTCTTTCTTTTGGGTAGTGATTCCCTTCCAATTAAACATCTTTTTTCTTGATTTCCTCTCTTTTCAGTGTGTTTCTGGGGAAAATAGGACTTTTTGTTTACCCTCACAGGTCAACTAACACTCCTGGGGAGCTAGGTTTCACTCCTGGCCATTATGTATTTTTTTAAAGTCACTTTGCATGGGTTTCCAGATCCCTGATTAGAGTTGAAATTACCTCTGTATGTACACCCATGTTCATAAATAAATATAATACACACGCACACATCTACATAATATATTTATGTGTGGGTGTGGTGTGTGTCACCTCATTCTGACCATCATGCTCAATATCTTAAAGTTCAGACAAATAGGTTGACAAGGGATAAAAATAGGAACTAAACCTAGAAGATAGATGATTGAAATTTGCTGGGGAAAAGGAGGAGGAAAGAGAGGACGGAGCATGTGAAAGAAAAGAAGTGGAAAGAAAAAAGATAAACAAGAGATAGAAGAAATGAGGGGATAATAAGACAGAAGAAAGAAGAGAGGAAGAAAAGGGAAAGAAAGTTGTAGTGAAAAGAGTTGGATTTGCAGGGGGAAGACCCCAGCCCTTTCCCTCCCCCCAAACCTTCCTTTCTACCTACCTTTGTGATCTTGTGTTTTCTTAGGCAAATCACTTAGCCTCCCTAGGCCTAAATTCCCTTCTCAGTAAATTAGGGACCTGGTCCAAAAATTCTTAGACTGGGATCTGTGAGCCTTTTTCCAAAAATATTTTATAGCCATTTTAACAGACCGGGTTTTCTTTGTAATCTATAGGTTTTATTTCATGCATCTAAAAACTTTATTCTGAGAATGGATCGATAGGTTTCTCCAGAATGCCAAAGAGGTCTGTGACACAGAAAAGGTTAATAATCCCCTGGATTAGATGATCTCTAAGGCTCCTTCTACTCTAGAAAGTATGATCCTGAAACAGAAAGAAGAAAAGAACAGGTTATAAGCGGGGCTACACCAAAAACTGGTGTGGTCAGAATATAAAATAAATAGAGAATAAAACTCTCAGGCAGCATTTCGGGGAAATTATGGCTGGGAAGCACCGGAGCAGTGTGGGGTCCTCCTCTGACCATCCCGGCGCGTTGTGTGTCCGCAGGTGTGGTTTCAGAACCGGAGGGCCAAGTGGAGGAGGCAGGAGAAGCTCGAAGTGACGTCCATGAAACTGCAAGACTCCCCCATCCTCTCTTTCAACCGCTCCCCGCCATCCGCTGCCCTGCCGCAGCTTGGGGGAGGCGTGGGAGGCGGCGGCGGCGGGGCGACCCTGCAGCTGGAGTCGTGGCTGAGTCCTCCACTGCCCGGCGGCGGCGGCGGCAGCACCTCCTTACAGAGCCTGCCCGGCTTCGTGACCTCCCCGCAGAGCCTCCCAGCCAGCTACACGCCCCCACCACCCTTCCTGAACTCCCCTCCTCTAGGGCACAGCCTGCAGCCCCTTGGGCCGCCCCCGCCTCCTCCTTACCAATGCGGAGCTAACTTTGTGGACAAATTTTCCCTGGAAGAAGCAGACCCCCGTAATACTAGCATCGCAGCACTGCGCATGAAGGCCAAGGAGCACATCCAGTCGATTGGGAAGCCTTGGCAGGCTTTATGAGACCACTGCCTTCTCAGTCTTCTTGACCCCACAAGGTGTCAGGCTGTGGCCTTTCCCCACACTAAACAGCCAGTTGCTTTCCCCTAACACACTTCAAACCCATTCCGTGGCTGGATCCACTAAGCTGTTGTAGAGGATCCGAACATTACGAGGGCATCCCTCTTCTCTGGCTGTGTTCCCCTATCCCTTGTTCCCCAAGCAAGGATTCTGCTTCGGCCCCAGGGAACCGGACTGCCTCCAGACGGTGGAGAGAGTTAGCTAGTGCTCATTGTTCCAAGGGCACACTAATCAGTGGGATGGGGCTGATAGAAATCCTCCAATCTGTGCTTAAAGAATAACTAAAAGCTATTTGGAACTACCTATGCTCTATCCTATGCCACTTCGACCACAAGCAAATGCGCATTCCCTTCTCTTAAGTAGCTGGAGAGAAATAAGATGTTCTGAACTCATTCAATTCACCAACATTGACTCCTCGCATTCACTGACTTCTAGAGGCCTCAACCAACCCGCCAAAGAGATCGAAATTTTGCAGCGAGTATTGGGGCTTCTCTTTCTTCACCTGTTCTCTGAATTGCCAGTGGCTGATGATCCTCTGCAAGATTATATTGACTGGGCCCGGTAGTGAGGCTGGGGAAGAGTTGGAGAAGAAAACCAGGAAAAATTGTTTTACGAAGTTGTTTATACATAGCTTAGTTTCTACATATCATTGGAGAAAATAAAAGACTACTTTTTGAGATTTTACCTTGGTTGTGTGAGGTTGAAAGGGAGGTTTGTGAGACCATGGAAATTTGTGAGAGAAGGGATGCTGAGAAATGGGCAAACTCCCCTCAAGTAGCTGAAATAGGATGTTTGGCAGTTCTGAAGAACTTAGATTTTTTTCTGACCAGACTAGTGGGAATTCCAGAAACCACCCAATAGCTTGGCTCTAGAGGAAACAGATCGGTGCTGCTCTCTACAGCTTCCTAATTTCCCGAGGACCTTAGGAATCACTTTCCTCTCCTCCTCCTCTCCCAGAGAGTCCAGGAAAAAGAGTGCAAGAGGGTTACTCACTCTCCTCTGGAAATCATTTTGCAGGCACGCTCACAATTCGTTTATCATCTATATTAGTTGCTTCTTTGCCTAATTGCTGCAGGTGGTTACTTTGACAGAAACAGGAAGGTGTCTAGCATCCCTAGGTCCCTAAGGGTGGATAAAGTCAGTCTTGGTTTATATTTATTCCTGAGTCGGTTCTAATAGCACACCCCAGCACTGCCTTCAAAACATGCACAGTCAGACTCAGTGAACTTTCTGCCTTTGTGAGGTTAATCAATTAGCATCTCAGACAGAAATTCTGTGGGGTTGCATCTTCTTTTGTAAGAATCTTTTCTCTTTCCTCCTCCTCCTTCTCCTGCCCAGGCTTCCCGCCAGACAGCGTGCCTCGGCTCCACTAAGAACCTTTGCCTGTCATTCACTTGAGTATGTAACAAATTAAACTAATGCTTTTAAATTTTTTTTTTTTTGCTATGAATCTAAACAGAAGCCATTTTCTCTTTAGCAGTATCCTGGTTCCAAGTAATACAAAATACTGATGTCCCTTTCTCTATTTTTGATAAGCACTTATTGAAAGCCTACTGAATGCAAAGCATCATGATAGATGATGTTGGAAAAACAAGATGAGTAAGAAAACATTAAAGTCTGGAGATACCATATGGACACATATCTACAACATGAGGGTAGCATTGATAAGGTCCATGGGAACTGTGAATTGAGTGATACAGAAACTCAGCATTGATTGAAAGCCCTTCTGCTTGAGGTAAAAAAAAAAATTTAAAAGATGGACTGCTTTTACACAAAGCAAGCATGGTATAGTGGGAAGAGGGCTTCATTAAAGATTTAAAGGACCTAGGTTTCATTTTTGGCTCTGGTACTTACTATTCCAATGACTGTTGGAGTCTTATTTTCCCCATCTGTCAAATGAAGGGGTTAGGCAACATGATGAGGTAGAACTTTGGATTTGGAGTCAGAAGACCTGGTTTCAAATTTTGATTCTGCCACTGTATGATCTTGAACAGGTCATTTCATATCTCATTGCCTCAGTTTCCTCATTTGAGATTTGTCCTATGGTCTCTTCCTACAAATCTGTGATATTGTTTAGATGCTTTCTCAGACCCCTTCTAATCCCAAGTACACTATGAATTTATGTGTCATTCTTATCTGAGAGCTTGCTAATTATCTATTTCATTCTAGTTTTTAGTTTAGTGCTTCAAAGTGAGCCCAGCCAGTTGGTGTTAAAGAATCCTTCTGATCAAAGAAACTACTGGGAGCTCTGGCTATTCCCTCAGGGATGAGATCCCTGAGATGGAAGCCTGAAGGAGAAGAGTAAGCCATTGAAGCAGTGTCATTGGTCTTAAACGCAGAAGTGGTGCTACTAGTCTTGGATGGTTTCTAGGACCAGATGACAGGCATCATGGGAAAAAGCTGTTTTCACTGGAACAGGAAACATAGATTTCTCTAACACATCTACCTTTCTCTGGTTCCTTTTGTTCTCATTCCTCTCCACCTTATCCATTGTATTGCCCAGTAAACGTTCTTACAGCATAATGTGGGAGTGTTCCTTTGCCTTTGGAAGTCTGCACCCCTTCATACAGGGGGATCTGCTAATGACACCATTTCTTGATACTCTATTACTTACTTTGGAATTCCATCCTCAATTCCTAAGATCATAAATGTAGGACTGGAAAGGACCTTGGAGGCAATCATTTAACTCTCTCAGTTTCCAGATGAGGAAACTTCAATATAGAGATGTTAAGTGTCCTATCATGGTTACACAACTAGTAAATGTCTGAGATAGGATTTGAACTCAGATCATCCTGCCTCCAAACTTAGTGCTTTTATCCACTGCACCACTAGCTGCTTGGCTAGTCATGGTAGGGAAGGGAGAAGAAAAGCCAACACCCTACTCCTGAGATTTGTTTGAGGCAGAATAGTGCAGGGTTCTAATCCAGATCCTGGGTATAAAGAAGGAATGAAATCTCTACCTATTTCACTAAGATGGTACTCATAGCCTAGGGCCTTAAACTGCATACATTTGTTTCAGGCTTTGCTTCATTTTCTCCTCTCCCAGACTGTGAGCTGCTTCAGGGCAAGGGCCTGAGTATTGGAGAACTGAGCATCCCACCAAGTCCCTTGTATATAATATAGGCTCAATAAATATTTTAAAAAACTAAATAGTGTAGAAGGTAGAGCAGTGGTCTACAGTTAAAAGAATTGAGGCCAAATCTTGGCTCTGTCACCGACCAGCTGTTTGATCTTGGGTCACCCAACCTTCCTGGACCTCAGTTTCCTCATATGTAAAACAAGGTTGTACTAGACGGTCTCTCAGCTCTAAATCTCTGATGTTATTCTGTGATGTGAGTTCTTGTTGAGAAAAGTGATATGAAAAGCTAAGGAACAAATGTGCTTATACAAGTATATCTTTGATTTCAGTTTATTTTCTTTGCATCTCTCCCATTCCTACCCAATGGTGAAAATGGGATTTATTTAGGCAAACAGTGTTTCTACAACTCAGTCAGTCAGTAGGTAAACTAGCATTTATTAAGTGCCTTCTATGTTCCAGGCACTATATTGAGTGCTGGAGATACAAAGAAAGGCAAAAAGCCATCCCTGTGCTCCAGGAGTTCCCAATCTAATTGTGGATATAGTATTATTAGATATTATATGTTTTGTCACACTTTAATACTCCCCTTCCTCCTATTTTCACTACTTTCCCTTATGTATGTACCATTGGCATCTTCCTTTTCTCTTTTTTTCTTTTCCCTCTTCCTCATTCCCTATTCCTCTGCCTGAATCCTTTTCTCCTCTCCCTTTCTGCCTCTTTCCCCCACTTTCCTTTCCTCCTTTTCTAAACCCTTTAATATGCTTCCCGATTTCCTTCCTTCCTTTCTAGCACCTACTAAGAGTTCACTCATGTGTTAAACAATGGCTGAGGTATAAAGATGAATAAAACAGGGTTCCTACCCTCAAATATCTTACAATCTAGTGGGTGAAATAAGATATGGAGATAAATACCTATTACAAAGTGGGATCGACCATATGTCATAATAAAGGAACAGTGCCAACAAAATGCTGTGAGATTTGAGAGACAAAGAAATGGATGTTTCATAGAGGAATCAGGGAAGGCTTTGTGGAACAGGTGGAATCTGAACTGGGTCTTGAAGAATAGAAAGGATGTTAACATAAAAAATGGAGGAAGGCATTCCATTATAAGGAACAGTATGAACAAGAGCACAGAATTGGGAAAGTACAGGACTATTCCAAGAACTATGACAATACAGTTTGCCATGATGTAAGAGAGATAGTAAAATGTTACGTTTATGGAGCACTTTATTTTTACAGAGTGGTTTTAAATACATTATGATGTTTGATTCTCACAACAATCCCATAAAGTAGGGAGATTTTGTGGTATGGGGAAAAGGGCACTGAATTTGGAGTCAGAATAAGTAGCTTTGAAGCACTGTGACTGATCTTGGGCCCCACTGGGTCTCAGCATCGATACATGGAGGTACCGCAATGCAGGGGACAGAGTGCTGGGCATGGAAGATACAGGTTTAAATCATGCCTTACAAAATGTGTAATGATGAGTTTTATCATCTGCAAAGATGGCCACTGGAAACAAATAGTGACTAAAGGATATGTCTCTGAGTTAGCAAGAGTTAAGAGGCCTTTCTCTGACATATACTGGCTGTGTGACCCAGGCAAGTCATTTATCCTCTGAGTGCCACAGAGAACTCTCTAAAATGGAAGAAGTTTCAGGTCAGCATTAGTAAAGGGAGTTTTCTCTCGAGAAGTTCTCTATGCTAATGAAATCACAAGTCAAATACAACCACCTGTAGTACCTACCTCATAGAGTTTTTATGCATATAAAGAACTTTATGAACTTTTAAAAGTGCTCTGTAAATATGTGCTATTATTATTCCTAATAGAATCTGCAGCTAGGTGGCACAATGGGTTTGGAATCAGGA